TGTGTGTGTGTGTGTGTGTGTGTGTGTGTGTGTGTGTGTGTGTGTGTTCAGCAGAAGGACAATCTTAGATCAGTATTATCCAAAAAAATTCCTGACTATTAAATTAAATTAGAGATTTTGGGGGAAATTATTTTCTTCACTCACATGTCACAAAGAGAATGGAAATTAACCTTATCCTCGTAGACGAGTATTTATGAGAGGGCACCCCAGTGCATGTAGAGACCATGTAGACAGCTCTTATGTCATCCACTCTGCAGCTCTAGAGAGGAGTGAGTGGCGCATACAGCACCAGATGAGGATAAAAGAGTACATGGTTCCTTGGGGACCATTGACAGCTGGTGCACTTTAGAGTTAACCCCCAGGCTGCTCTAACTTGCGTGCAGGGCCACACAGAATCAGTAAGCGGAAACTGGCTCTGTGCATCTGGCCTTCCAATTTTAACTGGAGTGAGCTGCGAACTAGGTGTCTGCGATGCAAATGAATTCTGTCATCCAGAGATAAAATAGAGGGTTGTTAACACATCTGATCAGACTCTCTCTGCATGAAACAGCCCTGAAGAGATCTCTCCAACCAAAGTAATGAGAAATTACAGTCTTCAAATCTACCCATCACTAAGCTAGACTGCACCATTGAGTGTAAGGGCTAGTCTACACTGGCAATGCTAAAGCACTGCCGCAGCAGCGCTTTAACGTGCCTTGTGTGGTTGCGGCTCACGAGGGGCGTAGCTCCCAGCGCTGGGGCACTGTTTACACTGGCGCTTTACAGCGCTGCAACCTGCTGCGCTCAGGGAGGTGTTTTTTCACACCCCTGAGCAAGAAAGTTGCAGCGCTGTTAATTGCCAGTGTAGACATGCCCTAAAAGGGATGAATAAAAAAGGTAGTACAAAAGGCATAAAGTTAGTGTACAGATGCATAGCTAACCTTTAAACCTTTTGACTTTAAACCTTTTCCTAACAAGGAAGAGGACTTTTTTTCTTAAGGAACCACTGAAGAACTGCACTGTTTTCCTGAAGATGCAATATCATTCCAGAAAAGCAGCCCATTGAAATCTCTGCTCTCAGCTTTCTGGGTACTCTAGTGGACAGGGGCGGCTCTATGTATTTTGCCGCCCCAAGCACGGCAGTCAGGCGGCTTTCGGCAGCGCGCCTGCGGGAGGTCCGCCGGTCCCGCGGCTTTGGCGTACCCGCCGCCGAATTGCCGCCAAAACCGTGGGACCGGCGGATCTCCCACAGGCATGTCGCCGAAGGCTTCCTGACTGCCGCCCCCACAGCGATCGGCAGGCTGCCCCCTGTGGCTTGCCACCCCAGACACGTGCTTGGTGCGCTGGTGCCTGGAGCCGCCCCTGCTAGTGGAGAGACTGAATGTAATAAGCACTTTCAAAAAGCTTAAATTAAGGTAAATCTCTTTCTTTAAGAAGGCAACTGAACTTCAGAGGAAGACCAATTTATTAATCTAAGAGTAAAAGTGATTACTAGGATTGTTTGGAACATCTCAGAGCAGAATAATACAAATAGCAAAGACAGCTTTCTTACGAAGTGGTGTAAAGTAAGGATGGGAAAAGACTGACGCTGTTTGAAAACTGAAATACATAAGAGTTGCTTCTTGTTCAGTCCTTACTTGAGACATGATTTTAGATGTTTATGAAGAGGAAACCCAAATGCAAACGGAAGTCAAAGGTTGTGTAGTAATCTGAACACTCATACTGTCAAATATTTTTTGATCCATTTGAATAAAGAAAAAAATTGGTAGTGTGATTCATCTGAGTTTCCAGAAGGGTTTGGATGGTTGGTAGGCAGAATTATCAAAATCTTGTTTTGAGACTTGTACATATACAGATATATATATATATATATACACACACACACACTAACAAAACAAATGCATATTTATATATATAAAGGGCACTTCTAAGTCCACGTTTGTTTTGGGGAAAAAGTTAATCAGAGTCTAGGAAAGGGAACAGAAACTCTGTTTCCTTTGCACTTTAAGATAGTGAGATAGTGACTCATGTGGAGTATGACACAGCATTCCTTTTTGGAACTTTAGTTGCCAAAGCATTAGATATGTTCTATAGTATGCTGGGAACACCTTTCTTGTGTAAATGGTCTGAAAATTAAATCAAGTTTTTGGTGGCAATTTCTAATAAAGGCTATATTCTATTGGAATTTTAAATCAGCTGAAGTATTAAAGAAATTAAATCCTTTTTTATGTTGTATTTTTTTAAATCTAGCTTCCTCCCTACTACTCTTTCCCATTAGGCAAACTGATGTTGCAGGAAGGGAGATATGTGTTTGGCTCAGAATTGGTTACAATCCGAAGCTAGATCTCTGCCCCTATTTCTTCCCCACCTTCCTTCAAAGATTCATCTGGATTCTGCAACATTTACCACACCTAACATTGTGACTGGAGATAGGCTTACATCAGAATACAGGAATCTGAATACTCCTGAGCTCTGGGAAAGCTGGAATCCAGATGTGAGCTTCGTGACATGATTCCATCTCTAATTTTGACATCCAAAGTTTTGGACCTACTATGCGATGAGGATTTCTCATCTCATTCTTAGCTCTCTGCCATGTCTCCAGACTAAACTGAGCCTTTCAAGGTTGGAAGAAGGCCTCTGCCTAGGCCAGGTTCCTAAAAGCTAACTTAAATTCCAGGCTAAGTCTTCTAAAGTTGGAGCAGGCCTTTGCCAAAGTTCAACTCCCAAGCTTCACAAAGTCTTTCAGAGCAGGAGTCTCTGAGCAAGCATTTAACCAAGCTCCCAGCCAGAATCAATTAACCCTCTCAGTGAGAGACCATTCTGTGACAAGCCCCAGTGCTTCAAATACTCCTTCCACACTGCTCATCGCATAAACAGTGCTCTGCTTATGCACTGCTTTCCCCTTTCTTTCCATGCTGTTTTCTCCCTGTTGTTCCTGTTTGATTGTCTGCTCCTCCTTCCAATACCATGTTATTGTTCATAAAGATGCAGGAATGGTGCCTATCACTTCCAGAAGCAATTCTTGTTATCAAATGACACACTGTGGATGATCCTTTGGTAAAGCCATTGAATTTTGTCCACCCCCACCCCAATAACCTGAATCCACTATGGCAGCTGGAGACCTCAGACTTAAAACATTGGAGTCAAGTCTGTGCTTTGGTGCAAGAGTGCTGACTCTATTTTGGGACTTTCATGTGTTTCCTAAGTCTCTGAATGTTATTGACACTAAAGACAAGTGTCTAGACAAGTTTTTTCATGTCATCTAGTGGGATAGTGAAGTTTGAATGTCTTTTTCCACCAATTTTTGTGTACCTTTGGGTAGAATTACAGTAGTTAGTGACCTGCTCTTCAGAGGTTCTCAGCTCCTGTAGCTCCCTTTAAGCCAAAGGAAGCTACAAGGGCTCAGCACCTCTGCAAAGCTGGTGATTAGTAGGTAGTCCCCAATTTATTTTTACCTGGTACTTGAAGGTTTATAGAATTACAGAAAAATGTGTGTGGGATTTTGTGTTTCTACCATTTTCCCTCAAAACAGTATTTGTTTCATTCTTTGGATGCTAGTCATATTCCTCCTATACAAGAACTTCTGATTAAAGCTTTAAGGTCTTGTTGCATTCTTTGCAGCCCCCATCTCTTGGTGGATCAGAGAATGTATTTGTTTGACTTGTAAACAGCGGCAATAGAAACAATCAAGGAACTTGCGCAAAACCACCAGAATATTTTAAAGAGAGAATTTTCTGTTTTCCTTCCTTCCTGTGACTTTTATAACTCCATGTTTTTGGTTGTGATAGGGAGTAATTAAAGCAAAACGAACTTAATAAATATATGCTGGATAATTATGCTGGTGCAATAAATGGGTAAAATCAAGGAAAGCTCTTACATAAGCTACACAGGTTTGTGGCACATTCAGACATGTTTTTGTTGAATATAAATAAGGAAGTGTTAGATATTACATCCATGACAAAAATGGTTGTGAGAACTGAACTGTCTCTGCTTTCTGGCAGGTGGAAATACAATAGCAGAACACTAACAAATTAAGAGGATGGAGGAAAGATGTGATGTGTACAACAAAGAAAGTTACAGGTAAGCGGTATTATCTTTCTGTAGGTGATATAACTGAGCTTGGATATGTCATACCTCATTTTAAAAAAAAGCAGTTGGACAAAATCATTTAGACTACATCAAGAATAATCATCAAGGAAAAGTGCAATAAATTTACATACAGGTTAAAAGTAGTGGTTATTTAAATTCATTCTTTCATATTTATCTGTTTGTTAGATTGTAATTCTGTAATTAGGTTTCGTCTGCTCATTGGGTTGGTCAAAAGTATTTTATTTTAAATAATTCCTTTCAAAGAGTATTTGTTGTTCAGAATCAGATTTGTCCAGTGTTCACTAAGAGCTAAAATTGAGAATGATGCATGCTTGGAAACTGTACTAATTTATTGAATTTCCATTACTGTCCATAAAACCAGTTCCTTGTTTCAAAAGATTTTGCAATGTGTTAGCTGTTATCAGTGAATGATACAAGTGGGTTGGAATTTCATACCACTACTGTCTATGAAGAGTATTCCGAAGCCTGAGATCCCCTTTCTAGTGCTATTTTATTTAAATATGTTTTGGTTCATAAAACAAGTGAGTGGCTTTGAGCAAGTATTTGGTAACCCAGCCAACACATCTACACACAATATTGAGGGCATATGGTAAAAGGATGCTGTCTAGAATGATGTGCAACATTTATCCCTGTCCCCAGTTTCCCATGTCTTAGTTTCAGCAGTAATTTCAGCCTATTTAAATACTGCAGCTTGTGAGTTGGGTGACCCAGTAAATTGAGGATGCTAGATTTGTTACAGTGTCTATGTTTGTCATACATTTCACAGGATCTTTGGCAATACTTTGTCCAGGAAAAAAATGAATGATTTAAAAAGGCCTTCATAATTCCCATTTAAATCTTTTAAAATATCTGTGCTGGCAAACATTCAAAATAATGATTTAATTTGATGGTGGTCCAAAAAAAATTGCAGTTGAACCACATTCCTTCTAAATCATTAATGGTTTGTCAATTTAAGGAAGATCTCCAGAAAAAAAGTCCCAAAATGGTGTATTTAACTCTTGTAGAAAAATCTATGGAGTGTGACTTTATTTTAGAGTTTTGTCAGTGTATAATTTGACCATGTTTGTTGAAGTGTAGGAGAATATGTGGATTCTCAGATGTGCTCAGTGCTGACCTAATTCTCCTCCCTTTGAAGTCAATAGTGAAAAATCCTAAGATTTTTTTTTTTTTTTTTGCTTGATGTGTTTTATATGTGTGTGGTCTATATATTTATAAAGCTTGGTACCTGTTCTCCCTTCCCCCCCCCTCCCTTTTTCTGGCTTTCTGTAAACTTAAAATTTAAAAGTAGTTTGAATTAAAAGTCAAACGAATACTAACATGGAAGGAAAGATGCTGAAGTTTAGAGGAATCAAGCAAGCATAAGGCCACGCCTAGTTGATGCCAAGTACACGCATAACATACTCTCACACAATCCATTTGCACTAATTGACATGAATCGGTGCAATCCTGCAAGCTGTATTTTTGCCTGCCTAAGTCTATTGAGAAATCATTTATCTAATTGGATTTCGTACACAGCTTGAATTCTTGGGTCCCCTTATCTTAACCAGAGAGAGAGAGACATTCTGAATGAAAGATTGTGATTTTTCTTGAAAAAACACTAGATGGCATTTATTGCAGTGTGGAATAAAACCCTGCTTTACAAGGCAGAATGCAGCATATACAGTAACATTTTAATAATGAGAAACTATCTCTTTCTTAGTTTAATTTGTTAATGGTTGAGGAAACAAGTGATTTCTGGTAGTTGATTGATGTATATCCATAGAAAGAGATTTGATTGCTTGTTGTAGTGAAAGTGTTGTTTAAATTGCTTTTCAGTATCATATGTTTTAAAGTGACCTGTATTGTGCCCAACATTGTTCTAATTTCAAATATTACCTAAGATTGCTTTGAAAATGTTTTGAAGGCAGTAAAACCTCAAAGCACCATAGAGTCACATCACAATGAACAGTAAGCACAACACATGGGTGTCATTAGAGGATAGTCTTCCTTCACATTTCACTGTTTCACACAGCCTTGAGACGCGCGCCATACCGCATCCTGCCAAGTTAGCCACATTGTCGACTTTCACTCGACTGTCTCTGGCACCAGTGCCTGCAAATCTTGCTTCTGAAATCTAGGAGACCCCACACAAGGTAATAATTCTTTGGCCACCCACTTGTTTTTATCCTCCAGGAAGTTGGAGCTATGGAGTAGAGTTTACAAATACTTTAAGAAATCATAACCAAGTTTACTATCTTATTTATTTGTTTAGAGCTAAATAAATATCTAGTGGCAGCTCGCTGGTCTCTTACAATACTTAAACTGCACACAATAGTCAAAAATATTAAAAGGCATTCCTAAAAAGACCACCTCAGGTCCAAAATCACACTGCCTGTTATCTACCCCATAATACCAGCCAAACCCAGTCCACCCCTTATTCCTGGAGAAAAAATTGGGTAACCAGGAGAGTCTTGCATTATACCCTGAGGTTGTGGTGGATCATGGTGGAAGTGAGTTGCAAAGCCTAGAACCACTGGTTGAGAATGTACTACTGTTCAAATTAGGGATTTTTTAAAAGCTCTTCTGTGCTTCAGATCATCCCCAGTGCTGAGGCAATAACCAGAACCTTAAGTCTGACCTGGAAATAATTTGGTAGATAGTACCGATTATTGAGCACTAATGCAAAACAGTCCCTTCAGAAAATACCACTTAGAAAGTGACCAGACATGAATATGAGTTTCTGAATAGCTTTAAGATCTAAGCTTTTCTATTTTAAAGTATATTTTAAGATCACATTATCTGTGTAGTGCTCACCGCAATAATTCAACCTAAAGGTGACAAAGACATGGATAGTGAACTGTGATAAGATATGCCTTTGAAATAAAAAACTCCACAACATTCTTGTCCATTGCCTCAAAAAAAAGAAAAGGCATTTTTGGCAAATGCTGTTATCTGGCTGGAAGGAACTGGGTGTTCTTACCAGCCACTAAAACTGAGTCTAATAGGGACTTTATCCATGCCTGAACCTCCTGGAACCCTGAATAAGTGAACTCTTGAGGCAGATGAACAATTGCCCAGTATTACCCTGAGACCTTCCAGAGAAAGGAGGGACTAGCTTGAGTAAATCCATCTATCAGTGTGTCGTGGACAGGAGCATCAAAGGCAGCTGATATATAAAAGAAACATGGAGACTGCCAGAATAGGTTTGGTCTGTTAAAAATAGTATTTGTATGCTCTTATTTTATATTAGCAAATAAGATATTGTCTTCCCTGTTTTTCTTAAATGCCGTGCAAGTCAGACCTGATTAACTGAGAAGGGAAAGTAATTTTGTTTGTATTGTGTATAACTATTTTCTTTAACTAATTAAATTCAAATGCCTGGGAAATGATTAGCAGCAAATGTGCCTTCATTAAAACTTAAACACTCCACTCCTTTTAACTAAAGCCTGAGAGAAACACCTCTGGGACCTCAGACTACTTCCTCAAAAATAGGAAAGACTAAACTTGACATTCTTGACGATTCCAAGGGAAAAAAACAAGCAGGAAAAAAATATGGAAAAAATAAAATAAAAAAAACCCCTTAAGGTTGCCTTTTCTTATCTGTAAAGGGAGGGGGAGGGGGAACCTAAACAAACAAAAAGGCATAAATTCATTCCCCAATTTGATTTTCACTTTGCTCTCTTTGCCTTAATCAGGCTTGGAAGGATTATATTTTTATTGGTAAATGTTGATAAACATTGATTTCCCTGTGCACATGCACATGAAAAAATATTTCCATCAATGATAATAGAAATTTACAGACAGGCCAAGTAAGAAAAATGCTGCTTGAGAGTGTTCGATTTAAGGCTATTTATTTAGCATGTTTTGATATATGATGAGAATTTGTGTTTTAATGGTTCAAAGCTTTAACTTTTTGCATCTCAGTGTCTGACCCCCTATAATTTCCCACAACTGTGAACATTTAAATTGATAAATATAGAAAAAATCTTAAAAATAAACATAGATATTATCCATCAAAATTATATAAAAAATCAAGTTCAAGTATATTTATAATCAATTCCAATAAATGGCCCCAGCACCCTTCCACTGGTTTTCAGCCGAACTTTCTCCTCCAGGATGTAGAGAAACTGGAAAGGATTTAGAGGCAAGTGATCAAGACGATCAAAGGGATGGAATGCACCATATGAGCAAAAGTTGAAGGACCTGGGTATATTTAGTTTGGAAAAGAGGAGATTAAGGGAGACATGATAGCAGTCTTCAAATACTTAAAATACTGCCATAAAAAAAGATAGAAAAAACTCTTTTGCCACAGAGGGCAGGACAAGAGGCAGTGAGTTCAAATTGCAGCATAGCAGATTTAGGGAGGTCGTGGAAGCTCCTTCACTGGAGGTTTTCAAAAGGAGGCTGGGTAGCCATCTGTCTTGGATGGTTTAGACACAACAAATCCTGTATCTTGGCAGAGAGTTAGACTAGATGATCATTCCAATCCCTTCTAATCTATGATTCTGTGTCCTCATACTATGTAAAAATGTATGGAGGGGTTTATTCAGACTAAAGGATTGCTTTGTCCTGATAGTCTCCAGGATCTTCAGGAATGAGGACAGACTAGGCAAGATGCAAGAAATACTGCCCTCAAACACATGGATCCATTTGCTGTGCGTGTGGAGGGAATTTCTCTGTATTGTTTCAGAGCTGCGCTTCTTCCTCCAAACCGATGGTTCCCAGCCAGGCTTCCACTGATTGCTGGGATATAGTATGTACTCTGTTTTTTCTCTGGGTACATTTACCCAGCAGTTAAACAGCCACAGCTGGCCTGCGTCAGCTGGCTCAGGCTGCGGGGCTGTAAAATTGTGATGTATATATTTGGGCTCTGGCTGGAGATGTAGGACCCCCGAGGGGACTGGGTCCCAGAGCCCCAGCCCTTCTGAGCCCGAATGTCTACACCACAATTTTATAGCCCCATAGCCTAAATCCTGTGAGGATGGGCCAGC